ACTTGGTGGTTAAGCACCTCTGGGTTCAATCTCTGGTACCAAAGGTGTGGGGAGGTGGATAGGAGCTCAAGGGGGAAAGGGGGAGGTATTTGAGAACTATTTATCAGGCAGAATCCTCAGGGATTAAATGAACCCATTTGTGAAGTGGGATGGAGAAGGAGGGGCCAGGATTCTGACTTGGTCAACTAAGGGGATTATGACACCACTACCCAGCCAGGGGCAGTGAATAGTCCTATTGGACTTATTTATTCTCCTTAAATATTAAACTTGAAATACTTACATTAAAAAGTTTGTATCAGGAGAAAATAAGTCAAATTAAAAAAGCTGACAGCCTCTGTTAAAAAGTAAAACGGTCTGCCTTAGTCCCTCATCAATTTATTTTGTAATAAGTTGATCATTAGAAACATGACAGAAAAGGCAGCACCAATTCAATATGCTGCGTGCTTTCTCACATTTCTTTACAATTAGATTGGGGCCACATAACTATAGTCATGTTCTATAAAATGTGACTATAATCACATGTGGCATAATGTGCTGTTTCAGTCAACCATAGGCGACTTACAAGATGGTGGTCCCATGGGATTAAACAGCCTAGTAACCTATTGTGTTTGCACAATCACAAAAATCACCTAGTCAGGCATTTCTCAGAACGTATCTGCATCATCAAATGTTGCTTGGCCGCATCTCTGGCTAAGGGATGACAAGTAAAGGTGGTGTGCATCACTTACGAATGGTGCAAGTTTCCACTGCTCTTCTCTGAAGCCCCTTGAGGTCACATAATAGGATGCTGTCACCACTAGGCAGAGGGTGCTGAAGCTAAGCCAGTGATGGAGCTGTCTCTGAACTTCAGGGGAAGCCACGTTTTAAAAACATAACCCTCAGAGACCTGCCATCAGACCACATGAAAGAAGAAGGAAAAATCTCTCTTCTACTTGGACACTGAGATTTGGGGGGCTATTCATCACTGAGGCGTGGTCTGGCCAGGAAACAGATAAGCATCTTAAATTGAAGAAAACGTTTCTCTAGAAATTTACTAATCAGATTGACTCCTCAAGAATGTAGAAGTATGTCTCCCAAAGAGGAGGGTGAAGGCAGGCAGGGAGTATGTTTGTACAGACCATAGCAATGGACAACAACCTTTGTACTAGGAATCCAGTATATTTTGGCATAGATCTCTTATTTCAACCACAAAGTTTATTCTAAACCAAACAGAAGGCAAATCTCAAATAATATCTCCTTTTTATATGTGGATGTTTAATAATGCTCTTTCCCCCTCTTTCTGTAGATGTCTATCACACAAACGAGACTAATGTGGATGGAAGTCTTGTATTTCCAGTCCTTTCCTACAGCTCCACTCACACATTAAATAATGCAAGATTTCTAGACTGTACTGTCTTGTCTATTATTTTACTTTAAAAAATCTCATCAATCCTATCTTGGGGTTGGGATTACCAAAGGTACAGTTAAGTATTACATTTGCTGCTATAATAGGGGAAATTTTTTGAAATAACAAATCTCAGAGCATCTAACACAGCTTAACTCCCTAGTCCAAAGGGATCCGAAGGAAAACAAAAGCATCTCAGAGGGAGGAGAGTTTCCATCCAGAGCTGACTTACCCCAGGAGCTGATAACTTGGTAAGGGAATTTCTCTTCTCATACTAACATTTCCATGAAGTAATTAGGGAATTGGAATTTAGTTCTGCATAGAAGGTGATTTCAGATTTTTGCAGTTTGTTAATAAAACGTTCAGATGTTACACGATAAATTGGGGGTATTTGGGCGCTATACTCTTGCAGTATCCCTAAGGACCATTCTTGGAATGATCTTGTTCACTAAATGTGCTAAGCAAGTTTATGAGAGGTTGATTCATACAATGTCTTGCCTAAAGTATTACCCAACCCCATCTACTTTCCCTAGAGTTTTGAATTTCTCCACCATGGGACAATGACAACATTTCCTAAATATGACCCAAATTTCTCTCTTCCTGCATTACACTTTTAGCTTCTCCCTAGGGCGCTTTATCATCTGACCCCAACTCTCCTCCTACTTAGCCTCACCTCACTTCCGTCCTGTTTTGAACCAATTATAGCACACACACCCCATTGTCAGCTTCTTCAGTTTTCCCTGCCTCTGTATATGCTGTCTCCACTCCTTCCTCCTCTTCATCAGATGGAGGTTCATTCTTAAGATGCAGCTCACTGGGCTGGGTTGTAGAATGATAGAGCACTTGCCTAGCACTCGGAGATAGACAGCTTGCTTAGTGCATGTGAGGCACTAGGTTCAATCCTCAGAACCACATAAAAAATAAATAAAAATAAAGGTATTGTGTTCATAAAAAAAGATGCAGTTCATATTGTTATTACCAGCAACCAGCATTAATAAGCACACCACAAGCTCTGAAAAAAATATTTATAAAGGTACACTGTAAAAATTGTAAATAGTATGTAACCCACTGAGTAACCATTTTTAATCACCACTTGTTGAATATTAGGCTTTTGATAACTGGTTCAGTTCTTGGTGAACAAGAAGGAATTCTCTAGGACCTATCACCATAAAGGCTCACTCAACTACAAAGGAAGAAAACAACTTCCAAAAGTCACATGGTTCAAACTCAGCTGTCCATGAACTTCAGGGGAAGTCAAATTTTAAAGGCATAAACCTCAAACATTTAAAATGGGGCTTACTCGAAGGCAATACAACCACAGTGACTAAAAGAAAATGAGTCAGAAATGTTTGCTGTTGTTTTTAGTATTTGCTTCTCTTAAGGAGATTGAAAAATACCCCTTTTCTGCAAATATTTTTAAAATAAGCAAGTAGACTGGGCACGATGTCACACACCTGTAATCCCAGCAGCTTGGGAAGCTGAGACAGGAGGATCGAAAGTTCAAAGCCAGCCTCAGTAACAGTAAGGCCCTAAGCAACTCAGTGAGGCCCTGAAGGAGATCTGTGTGTGGGGTGTGGGAGAAGCTAAATTCAATTTTAGGCTGATTTGAGTTCAACATGACAATAGTACTCACCATTTAAAATGTCCATGGGCAATCAAAGAAGCGAGAGCTCAGATGAGAACAAGCCCCAAACACAGATACGCAATTCATCAGCACATGAGTAAGAGATGAAATGAATAGTGTGGCAATTGAGGCCAGAGTTTCCACAACAAAGCAGATTTCAGGAGGACTTTTATAAGAAGCCAATATTCTATCATCAAATCCATGCACTGTTCAAATCTCATTAATCCCTACTTCCACTCTGGCTCCCTGTAATCAACCCCACCTTGCCCCCCATCCCCAAAATAGAATTCAGAATGCTGGAAACACCTCGCATTCGGGGTCTGTCTGCCTTAAATAGGAGGTTCCCCTCTTACATAGCAAGTAGAGCCATCAGGCAGAAAAAAAGGCTTTGAATAGAACTTGCCAAATAACCCAGGGGCAGTTTACTTAATGTGTCTGGGTTAGGGTGCTTGATCTGTACCATGGAAAGCATTGGACTAGATGATATATAAAGTTCCATTCCTCATCTCACAATTGTTTTTTGTTGTTGTTGTTTGTATGTTTGTTTTTTTTTTCATTTAGATCAGATTCTTTCTGAGCTCTGCCTTCTCAGGAGTCCCTTGGGCTTCTGGTTCACCCTTCAATCAGGGCTTCTGAAGTGGAGGGTGGCTCAGAGAACAACTAGAGCTTTTCCTTCTAGTGTCTAGTAGGTTCTCTTTGCTCCCTTTTAAAGAACCAGCACTGGACATTCCTTCACCAAGAATTCAGGAAAAATAAAAATCACCTTTGTTTTTTTTTAATCACAAAGGACCTGGGTTCTCTCCACCACTTTTTAAAGTAACTGCTTGCTACCTAGTCTCAGAAAATTGAGAGTAACAAATCCTAGTGTATGTATTTACCTTTTTTTTTTATTATTATTGCCCTGTGGCCTTAACTCTGAAATTTTAAAAAGCATTTTTTTTCACAGTGCTTAACACAAATGGCACTAGCATTTGGTGGAACAAATTAAATTATTGTTTTAGAAATATCCTGTAAGTACTCAGAAGTGCCATTGTGTGTTACAGTTTTCTGTCTTGGTAGCAAACTTTCTCTGTTCTCTTAAAATCATTTCAACTAGCTTCCCCTCACCACTCTAAAGACTGAATTCACAGGGACCAGCAGATTTCCAAACCATTCTTTACCCTCTACTTAAATTCCAGTTAGCATCTTTTTTCTGCCTGATGGCTCTACTTGCTATGTAAGAGGGGAACCTCCTATTTAAGGCATACAGACCCCGAATGCGAGGTGTTTCCAGCACTCTGAATTCTATTTTGGGGATGAGGGGCAAGGTGGGGTGGATTACAGGGAGCCAGAGTGGAAGTAGGGATTAATGAGATTTGAACAGTGCGTGGATTTGATGATAGAATATTGGCTTCTTACAAAAGCCCTCCTGAAATCTGCTTTGTTGTGGAAACTCTGGCCTCAATTGCCACATTAATCAGCACGCAAATGTTACCTGGTGTCCGTTTCTCTAATTTCTGAGCAATGACTCCTAGGTATATATTTATAAAAAGTCATTCTGGTGCGTCTGGATACCTTCAGAGTGGGAGACTTGCGAAAAAGGCAGGAGAGTGTACTAAAACACAATTCGGGTTGGGGTGGAGGGCAACGTGGATTCCACTGGCTGGGGGCGAACAGGAGAGGATCAAGCAGGACCTGGCACTGATTTTCCAGTTGCTAAGGTCGCCGGCGTCCTTGGTTACCGCTCTAGGTGAGGTGCTCCGCCAACAGCCCGGTCGCCGCGGAATCCCGCGCTCTGCAGGAAGCGCCACCCCAGCGCCTCCACCAAATGGCACCAGGACACATTCCCTTCCTTCCCGCCATCCCAGCCCAAGGCCCAGGTTCCCGTTAGGAGTCACAAACACGGGGACTTTGCAAAGCGATCTCACCGACGCCTGTCCCCGAAAAGCCCCGCGGGGACGGTGCGGGGATCTACCGCGGGGCGAGTCCCGGGGGCCTCCCACCCCGACTCACGTTGTACTCTTTCGCCCAGGAGTCTATCCTGTCCTGCAACCGTCGTAAAGTTTCGTTGGAGACCAGCCTCCTCAGGTTTTCCGCCATCGCTGGCTTTTTCTACGCGGCTCGGCTATGGGAGACAGACGTGGAGGGGCGGAAGCAGGGGCCTCCGCAGGACCGCCGCGTGGTGTAGCGGGAGGGTTGATATCTTCCAGGGGGGCTCAGATAGCAGCTGGTGTTTCCATCCTCCCCTTCGGGTGGGACCGGGCAGGGTTCGGGATGCCAGGGGGGGGTGCCCTGGGCCGCAGCTGTCGCGCCTCATCCGCTGCCCGGCGCGCCCTCCTGGTTCCCCCGCCGCCGCCCGCGAGCCCCAGCCATTTATGTACCCCGGCGATTATTAAACAAACCTTGACGTGGGCGGGCGGCTGCCAGGGACGCCGCGTCGGGGCAACGCTCTTGCCACCCCGCCCCGCCCTGCGGCGCCCGGCCTCTGGACTCACCCACTATGCGCCACGCCGCTGCTCCTGAGGCAGCTTCTCCTCCTGCTCCTGCTTTCGGTGCAGTGGGGCGAGGGCGAGGAGGGCCAAAGCCACCCGGATTCGGGATCGGGCGGGAACTGGAAGGCTCCGAGATCCGAACCGAAGCGGTGCGACCCCTCGATGGGTCCGGACCGATGGCAGTGCTGACTGGGGTGGCACGCAGGCAGGCAGCCGGCGGCCTAGAACCCTCCTCCGCACGCCAAGCAAAAGTTAACCGCCATGAACTTTTTTTTTTTTTTTTTTTTGACTCTAGGGATATCACTTCTTTGGCCCTTGCTTTATTCTTTCTCCTCTCAAACCTTTCTTGCATCTGCAGCCTCCCGGGATTTGCCTGTAGGAAACTCGCTGGAACTAAAACTTCTATCTTTTGCTTAATTTTTTTAGCCCACAGGGTGGGTGTCCAAGTTGATGGCACTAGGAGGTTCACAAATTAGAACTGATCCCTCAGGTTTGGATAGGATTTGGTAGTATGTGCGAGCATATTCGATTGTGCCATTAAAGCTTCTTTTAATTCTGAATTCCTTAAATGAGACTTTGTAGAAAGTTCCCACCGCGATCTGTCACTATTTCAAAAGAATGCATTCAACCACAGTGAGTTGTAGTTTGAACTATTAAATTAAATCATTTCAACCATTAACATGTTAGAAGCAATCTCTTGTTTTATATACCATCAAATGATGTGCTGATTGCAAATCACCTGTTCATTAAATCATGGAGGTGAAGCTAACAACTTTAAACTCGGTTTCATTTATTTAGGTACTTGAGAGGAAATTGAACATTGTGTATATCAGATTACCATAAAATTCAGAATTTGCACCACCTCTTGTTTTTATTCCTTTTAATTGCAGTGGTTTTAATGTTCAATAATGAAAATGAAAGGTTCGTTTCTGGAGTCTGCATTTCTGCTAGTTTTTGTACACCACAAAATTGGGTGTGTCACAAAATGTTAGTGTGTCACAGTAGAAAAATTACTAAAGTAAAAAGAGAAAATCCTATTCATTAAACATCTCCTTCCTAAAATGTGGGAGCAGGGGAGAAGGAAAGGAATGGAGGAAAAACAGATTTCTTAATTTGGAACCAATTGCACATTCCAATAGGTAACAGGAATCTGAGCAGTCCTGCTTACTTATAATAAAAAAATGAACCGGGACAGTTGTTTATGACAAATTAGAGGCTAAATCCTTTTTCCTTGCTCTGAGCACTTTAATTAGCCTGTAATCCTTGTTTCATCATCTGTAAAAATACAATAGTTCTTACTTCATAGAGTTATTATGAGCCCAAATAAGATAATTCATGTAAAGTACTCAGCATAGAGTTTGGCAGTGCTCAAAAAATTCTACGATTGGTATTACTAGGAATTTTGATCACAGTATTATATTAAATAAAACTAGGTTGAAATTATCCAAATTTCTAATAACAGGATGATGTTTGAGTAGATCATTCAATGAAATATTGTATAAAAAAGTCTTATTTAAGAGGAACATTTAATATCTAGAAATTCTCACTATATAATATTAAGTGAAAAGCAGGATATTACATTATATATTGTGTTAAATTATATAATACAAAAACAAGGTGTTAGCTCCTTTATAGTTTTCCAATTTTCCAAACTTTTACCATGAATATCAATTGCTACTATGAATATTTATCAGAAAAAGTTAGCAAAAACTTTACCATTCCTGGAAAAATGTTAGCCAAAATATGAATGGTTAAGCTGGTGATTTAGAACAGAATATGACTTCACCAAATGTCCTTGTTACTAATTTAATTATTAGACTTACAGTGACTTAAGATAGAACGATATTTTGATATCACCAAATATGCTACCTGATGCCATTTATCTCCTCATATGCTGTAGTCCACAACTAGACTCAAAATCCTCAAGATACTTAAAGCCTGAAGACTTGCAGTACTTAAAGCCTGCAGTACATCTTGGTTACCCTGGAACTCAGGAGCACGCATTGTACATAAAAGGACCTTTGTGTTTATTGATAACAGAAATGGGCCTTCCATTCAATGACTCAAAATAAGGGGAATGAATGTTCCACAAACTGTTCATCCACACTACTTCCTAAAAAAAAAGTATCTGAGATGGCTTACAGTGAAAGACTTGTAGAAAATATCAGTTAGAAGTTTTTTAAAGGAAAAAGCAAATATTCCCTAAATTTGGGTGAAAGACTGAATCTCATTTCATATCCATTCAATTAAGCCCAGGCAGAAAGAAAAATGAATTTTATGATTATGATTATTTGATTCTTAAAGTACATGTCTCTTCTTCGAATGGAAACATTTTCCTGGTACCAATTCTAAAATATGTTTATCTTTTAAAAAACATTATAGAACAATATAGTTGAAAGGTGCTTTAGTAATCATTTTTAAGAAAATATAGAGCCAAGCCAGGCAGGTTTGTAATCCCAGCGACTCATGAGGCTGAATCAGGAAGATTGCAAATTCAAAGCATCAGGAACTGAGTGAGGCCTTAGGTAACTTAACAAGCCTGTGTCTCTAAATAAAAAATCAAAGGCTGGGAATATGGCGTAGTAGTTTAGTGCCACAGGTCAATAATCAATTTGATTATTTTAGGATATATGTATATTATACAGGTACTATTATATATATATATATATTATACACAACTATTATATATATATTTATATATATATAAATAGAACTATTTTATATATATTTATATATATATATATAGAACTATTTTATATATATAAATAGAACTATTTTATATATATATAAATAGAACTATTTTATATATATATAAATAGAACTATTTTATATATATATATATAACTTCCATGCCCATAGCGGATTTCTAAGTGCCCTTAATGATGCTCCCCTCTGAACAGTTTTCAGTGGGCACTGAATAGCAATCAATTTAAGAGAAAGCAAGATCTCAGAATGCAAATATCTGAAGTTGCTGGTTACAAAAGAGCTCATGTGCTTTGAATTATAAGAATGCATTCAACCTTGGAAATTACATCTCACCATCACTGCCTCGGATGCTGGACATGGAACCATGGCACCTAAAGTTTGCCCTGCTAGGTTTCCATCTTGCTTTGGTCTCATCGCTTCTTTCTATGCCTTTATTCTTCTTTTTTGGAATGGGAACATTTACTCTGTGCCATCGTATATTGGATGTATGTAACTTGATTTTGATTTTTACAGGGGCTCACAGCCACAAGTTTGCCTTGAGTCTTGGAGGAGACTTTGGACTTGAGCTATGCAGGAACTGTTCAGTCTATGAGAACTCTTGGAAAAATACTAAATACATTGCACTGTAAGTACTAAATACATTTGCACTGTAAGATGGAAATGAGTTTGGGGGGGGCAAGGGGGAAATGTTATGGTTTGTATCTTGGATGTCCCCCCAAAAGCTCATGTATTAGGTAATTCAAGAATGCTCAGAAGAGAAATGATTAGATTATGAAAGCTGTAACCTCCACTGGTAGATTAATCTATTAATGGATTAATCATTTGAATGGATTACTGGGTGATAACTTTATGCAGCTGGAACATGACTGGAAGAAGTAGGTCAGCTGGGGTATGGCTTGGGTTATACTGTCCCATGGCTCTTCCTTGTCTCTCTGCTTTCCTGATACCATAGCTGAGCATCTTTCCTTTCCAACGCCCTTCCACCTACCTCACTCTGGTCCAGAGCAATGGAGTTGGCTGACCATAAACTCTGAAACCATGAGCCCAAAATAAATTTTTTCCCTCTATTTTGTTTTTATCAGGTATTTTGGTAACAGTGACCCAAAGTTAGCTAACAGAAACAAATTTAGAACATGGACACCGTTGCTTTATTTTACACTCTATTTGTGAATTAATGACTTTATATGTTATTAACCACTATGAGTCACATTTCTTTCATCTATAAAATGAAAAGCATGGACTAGATGAGTTCTAAGATCTCTTGTAGTCCTGACATTCTTTAATGCTATTTTAACTTTTTATATGATCAGGATCGAACACACCTTGCCCCTCATTTTCATTTTTGGTTCACAGTTTAGTTTGGACGCAGTCTTGATTCTGAGTTTTTGCTAATCACCAAAAGTTGAGCATCGTTTATGAGTACAAGTTATTTCACAAGCTTGCTGGAATAACATTCCTAACCTCTAGTAAACAAGGAATTTCTCTATGTTGCACTTTTAATAAATTTAGGCCTAGCTCCACTGACAAATTTCCTAACCCCCCAACCCCCAGAGCTCTTCACTCTTCTTCATACTTTCTCTAACTTTTAGACATTGTCACATTACATTATACTTATTTGTCTGCCTTCTCTAAAAGCCTGTGTGTTTCTTGAAGGAAAGGGCAAAGGCTTACTCAGCACAGCCACTGGCTTATGAGAAAGGAAGGAAGGGGAGGAAGAAGGGAGAGAGGAAGGAAGGCAGGAGATGATTGGCTGAATTATATCTGATGTCATAATCCCACTGAGGTAGAAAAAATTTACCAGACAGTTATTCATTCTTAAGCTGTCATAATTCTACCTCACAGCCAGGAATCATTTGTTCTAGAGAAGTATAATGTGTCAAATATTTACCTGGCAAAGACTTTCTGAAAGTCCTTAATTTTGTCTACTCTGAATTTTATTTGCATCAATCATCTGGATGTATTTTTCATTTGAGATGTTAAGAAGCCAACAAAAGATTAACCGGATCCACTCAATGAAATGAGGGCTCAGCATATGTAGTTGACACAACACTGAACATAAATATATGCTATAAACCACGAGGGTATACAGTGGATACCTTACATCCTGATTCTTCCTTACTAAGGACAGTGGCACACCTTTAGCCAGTGTGGCCATAAGAATAGTCTGTGTTCTGATCCTCTTCTATGTGTGCTGGGCTATTCTTGTCCTACTGCCGTCTGGGTTAGGATCTTGTTTCTTTGGATCAAGGCCTGTATTGTTAGCTAAAAGAAAATCATCTGGCTGTAGCTGACCCAATTGCATGACATTGTTTTTAAATACCGTGTTTATTGGTGGTACGCTAAGGCACTTTTCACTCAGAAGGACCAAATTCTTATAGGCAGAAAACATTTCTTTGTTTCCTTAGCGTTCTCTAACCTGAGTGCTTTGTGTTCTCATTTCAGGAGCTTCATTTTTGTCCTTTTTATTTCTTTGCCAGATTGGAGGAAAAGTGAAGCAGGGGAAAGTCTCGTTCATTGGGAGGAAGAACTAATTGAAGAGAGTCTGAACTGAAGGCAGCTTCTCCCACTGGGCAAAAGCAAAGATGCTGTGTCCTGTGTGATCCCAATACCAAGAAGCATTTTCTGCTCAAAGCAGCACATCAGAATTTTCCTGCATAATTAAATCATGCCCACTATTGCCTAAACTACAAAAACAAGAGGGAAAACTTCATGTATCACATGGTCTCACCATAGCACCCAAATAAACTACAAAACATTTACAGAAAATACAGAGTAAAGAGGGAAAATTAAAAGCAAGGTAGGTGTAGTGTGATATTTACACCCCTCCTATCTCAATCTAGGTTTTCATTGTAGCACAAAAAAGGCTATCACTGTCCTTGATATTTGGGGCTCAGCTAGCCATATCAGTGGCAAACATAAAGCTCCATGAAATGGAGTATGTGAAGTATGAGCTCAGGATACATTAAGTTATTGCAGAGGAGCATAGGTCCATGGCTCACCCACTAAGCATCTCAGGAGAGTGACATGGGACAGCGTGACAGCCATCTCTAGAATGAGGGCCGTTGGAATAGAAACTTTTCCGCACATTTAATGAACATTTACAGGATTTCTACTGTGATACAACTACCCGACTTAAGTATGAGGCAAAATTAAACTGAGTTCCTGGTCCCTAAGGTGTCATATCATTCAAGAGAAAACTACCACAACCATAGTTCACTGTGACAAGTTATAAAATTCTATGAAAACAATGACTTCCCTTACGGTCTTTCCTGTTCTATTGAAGAAAGAATCAGGGAAAGTTATGGAAGAAGGTGACATTTAGGGCCAGTTCTGAAAGGATGGAGAAGAGTTCACCATAAAGACGAGAGAAAGTGGAAATCGGAGGAACAGTAGAAAAGAGGCGTGTGACTGAATGGAGAGTCAGGGAATGAGGAATCCTCACCAGTGTGACACAGAAGAATCAAGGAACAAGAGACAAGGCCAGGATAATAACCTGTTATTTTGACTAAATATATTAGACTAAAAAAACCTAATTTTTATTTCATAGGCAGTGGGGAAGCAGCCAAGGTTATAAACAAAACTTATAGGATTAGATCTTTTTTATATCACATTGGAGGTCCTAGAGGTTAAGTTTGGAAGAGGTGAGACTGGACCCAGGAAGAGCACTTAGGAAACAGAGAGATGAGGAATGATGAGGTCCTCCCCTGGGGTATTGTATAATAAGTGTTAGAATGGACACATGCCAAAAATATTTGTTACCCATTAAAAAATTAACCCAGTATTCATTCATCAAAGTTAATTAGTATGCATTATATATTGGTTCCTAATATGTTCAAGACTTAGAGTGACATGGAAGTGATAACACATTACCCTTGCTTTGTAAGTAACTCACAGTCTAGTCAAGACCAAACTAGGGCAGGAAAAGCAAAATAACAGGTTAGTATGTTAAGAATCAAATGGGTATCATGTATCATAGTGAATGGGTACAATAAGTTAAAAAGAGAAAGCAACAAGGATTGGCTGTAGTTGTCTGGAAGAGGTAGAATTGATAAAGATGGGTAGAATTTGAAGAGGTATAAATTCACAGATAAGTAAGACAGATGGGTAAGTAAATTACCACATAGTGTGATTCATAATAGAGATGTACTTGAGGATCACAGGGAAGAGAATGGATATCAAGTTTGTGATAAGGAGAAAGATTAAGAAAGGTTTGCTAGAAAGGAATCCTTTCAGCTGGGTTTCAGTGGAGAAGTAAAACAGCTCGATAAAAAAGAGAAAGATCCACAAAGGGATAGACACAGGGACATTAGAGCCTCAATATGTTTAGGCATATGTGTGTGACTACCAAATATTACATGATTGAAATTAAGGATGAGTTTTTGGGAAAGGCAGGAAATGAGGCTAAAAGAGGTAGACAGGATTTGGCAAGTAATAGCCCTAATGTGCTAATACAAAGAGTATAAATATTATTATGGAAGGACTTGGGGTGAGTGTTTAAGCTTAAGGAGGAGGAGAGACATGATTCAATTTGTATTTTAGAAAGATCACTCTAGAAATAGCACAGAATGACTTTGAGGTGTATGACTGGAGTGGTGTCACTAAGAGAATATAAGAAAAGCAGAATAAGGGGAAAGATTTATGAATTTCAATTTTGGATGTGTTGACCTTGATTAAGGATTATCTTGAAGTATGTATTTATTAGTGCCTATGGCTACTATGACAAATTACAACAAAACTTGGTGACTTCAAACAGAAATTATTTTCTCTTAGTTCTGGAGGCTAGAAAGTAGAAGTCAGCAATGTTGATTGCTTCTAGAGGCTCTGAGGGAGGAACTTTCTTTTCTCCTTTCTTTTCTCTTTAGCTGCTGGTGGCTGATGACAGTTCTTAGAGTTCCTAGCCCACTAGTCAGATTGCTCCAATCTCTCTGCCTGTGTCTTTCCATCATATCCTTTGTGTATACCCTGTCCTCTCCAAAGATATGGGAGAAGGCCATACCTCTAAATCCAAGGTCATCTTTTTTCGCTCTGCAGTGCCAGGGATTGAACCCAGGGCTTTGTGTATATTCCATAAGCACTCTACCTCACAGCTACAACCCTAGCATGGGTAATCTTATCTAGAGATCCTTAACTTAGTCTGTGTCTCAAGCCATTCAAGATGCTATGATAGAACACCACAGACTGAGTGGCTTATTAAACAAGAGAAATTTTATTTCACACAGTTCTGGATTTGGGGCAGACTAAGATCAAGGTTTGGAGTCTGATGACAGCACATTTTTTAAATTCATAAATGGAAACTTATCAATATGTTCTCACATAGTGGAAGGGACATATGAAAAATCCTGGGCATAATATATAAGGGCATTAATCTCATTCATGAAGGTTTGAATTGGTTCCCCAAATATTACGTGTTGGAAACAATCTCCAAGTCAATAGTGTTGAGAAGTATGACCTGTAAAATGAGTAGGCCATGAGAGTTTGGCTTCAGAAAGGATTAAGGATTATCTTGTGAAATTAAGTTATCTCAGGGGTAGACTCCTTGTGAAAGGATAAGGATGGCCCCTTTCTTCTCTTGCCCCCTTGCCTTTCTCACCTTTTGCCATCCTATGGTGGATGTGGGATGATGCAGCAAAAAGGTCATCATCATATACAGCCCTCTCAACCTTGGACTTCCCAACATCCAGAAACATAAGAAATAAATCCCAGGTATTCTGTTATAGCAATAAGAAATGGAACAAGACATCTCCCAAAAGCCCCGTTACTTCCCAACGTTCCACTTCCCAGTGCTATCGTATTTGGGCTTAGGATTTAAACATGAATTTGGTATTGGCAGAGGCACACAAATATTCAGCTTATAGCAAAAACCCTATTTCCACAAAGATCACAAAAATACTGAGGGTTTTATGTCTTGGTTATTACTTTTTTGAGGGACATTATGCAACCCACTACAAAGTGAATGAGAGGATAAATATATTCATAGTCTGCTTCATTCTGGGGAGTATGGGCTGTAGAGCTCTGCTTTGTGCTTCCAAATTTAATAACATACAATAGGCAAAGGAAATACAGAACGAAAGGCCATGTTGTTTGACAGAAACAGTAAAGATTTGAGTAAGATGAACATGAGTTCAATCTTAGCTCTTTCTTCGTTGAAAACTTGGTCAGTCGTTTAACTTCTACAAGCCTTCATTTCCTCACTTGAAATATAGGGACCTATCTCATAAGACTGCTGTGAGAATTATAGAGACATTAAAAGGCACACAGTGGTCTCTAAATACCATTATGTCAAATAAAAAAGTTTGAAGATAATATACTTGATATTGCTTATGTTAAAGTTGTGATTGTATAAATGAGTTGGATCTCTTCATAAAGGACAGAGATTGACATCAAGGACAATAGTGAGACAACCTATCAGAGACAAAGATCAACAATGAAGAATCCAAGAGAGGGTGATCTCCAGATAGCCAAAGGAACATTTGGCTTCAGGAAAATTTACTGTAAGGGAGGTATCTGTTATCAGAACCCAAGTGGAAGCAACCTTGGCAAAATCAAGGCAACACTTTCTAGTCTTAAAACTGGAATCTTAGGCATATTTTGAATAAATGTAATAAGCTTCATACTGTAGCAGGCATTGGAGATAAAAGAATGAGACACAGACATACAATGCAATCTGAAGTATTACACATGGGTAAGAATAGAGTTAAGAGAACTCCTAAAACAACCCTTGAGAGCCTTGGAAGGGTTTGAAGAGAATGAGACATTTGGATGGTCCTTGAGGGTAAATAAAGAGTATGTCATCCAGAGAAAGGAGAAGGACTTTACAAATAGAGAAAAAAGAAGCAATGCATAGGAATTAAGGGATACCTTTCCAGATTCAGAAACAGAAACTCAGGAACAATCAAAAGCCCAGTTATCCAAATTTATGAATGAAAACAGAGCCAGGCTATTAACAGAGATTTAGTGTTGCCTCCCAAAGTCTCCACCCATATATATATATATATATATATA